GATCTCAGCTTTGAGTTGGAAAAGTTGCTACAGCCGCACGTCGTTCAGACTATTCAAGACAATGAACGACATCTGACAGATGCCATCAAACTGCGTATCTCAGTATGACTCTGTTTTGATTGTGCTGTTTCTTTCAAATTGTAATTTATCATGAAATACGAATTTATATATTTGTTAAAAAAAAGTAAATTAATGAGCGTCATTTTAAAATTACTTTTTCAAAATTTTCGAATTAATTCAAGATAAGGTTTCAAGTAGTTTTAACGCGTAACTTCCACATTATAGTTGCAAATGCATTCTGTCTACAAATACCTCTGGCGTAAGAAATTTTTTGAAAGTCCGACTTATTAGTTTTCACTAGATAAAATTTCCGTATTATTTTGATGATAAATGTTTTTACGTTTATTTTTTAAATTCTAAATTTGTATTCACACTTAGTGCTCAATCTTAGTGAATTATCGGATGGGCCAAGGCAAATTGCAACCAGAAGGAGGACGCTACAGATTGCATGATCGTATTACACCAAAAGATGCTTTCACTTAAATTCGAGAGCCAATGACATGCTACCATCTATGGGCTAATTGCACGGAATCACAGTGTGATGAATTTCTTCTTTAAGGTAATTAGCAGTTAATGAGAGAAAACTTATGCCGTGCATAGAATTTGAATCTGACACGTATAAAGTGTGTAAGGCAAGCTTGTCGAATTATTGGTACTCAAGTTATATACCTTTGTTATGTATTTTTTTACAAGGTAAATAGTCATTCGAATCGCTCCAAACCATATTTCTGTTATTGCTATTATATAATATTAGTATAGTATTAGTAATAAACAAAACGATGACGAAGATATCATGTTATCCGTTCTGAACCAAGAGGGCAGATATCGCGATGCCGTCATAGCATGTCAGATAAGGCTCTACGGAAATGATACTGACAGTGGTTGCTGAAGTCAGAAATTAAAACATCCTCATTCAGAGGGAAAGGGCAGGAACTAGTTGATGAGGCCGCAAGGAACAGATACGAGAGAGTTTGGATCTCGTCATCGAGGCGTCAAGGCCCTGGAATTCTCAACCTCTGCGAATGAA